TTGAGATGACAATAACACTCACATCAGGAAATTCATAGCTAAAGTTAATTCCCCTCCCATTCTTACCTATTGCTTATTATTTCTGTAGAAAAATGTGTTGGGTGCTTCATAGAGAGATAAGATGTGGCCCCATCCCCTGGGATGAACTCTGAAACAAAAGGTGGAGAAGGGGTGGAGGGAAGATAAGTGATCCAACAGTAAAAGATCATGGGATGAGCAGATACTCACATCTTGTGAGTTCCTTCTTTACATTTCTTAACTTTGTATATCTTATCTATTGCCCTCCTATCTGAGCACTTCCCAGTCTTTATTGTATTTGTCCTCACAACACCCTTGTGAGGAGAAAAATATTATTATCCACATTTTACAGACGGAGAATTTACTTGCCCCAGGTCACATATGAAGTCTGTGGTAGAACAAGAGGCCAGGTTTCCCATCTTGTAGACTAATGCCCTAACCACTGGACCATCGTTTCTCTGACACATATAGCTATTATGAAGTCTGTGTACATATAACTGTTTGAAGGAGCAAATTCAGTCTAAAGAGCAAGAGTGGGGGAATGAATGTAAGCAACTGAAAACTAAGAGAAAAAACAAGTCTGGAGGCATTTGAAGGGAGAGTATGAAGTTGTATGACACAGTGTATTAAGGAATTATGCTTCTGGTGTAATAATGGTCAGATACCTAGGAGTGCTGGAAGATACTATTAGTTGGCCCCTGACATGCTATTGGTCAGGGTTATATGGCAGGCATCGATATCCTGGCTCCTGTTACATCCGGCTGGATGTCTGAGGTTCCTTAATTCAATACCTGCTCCCCTGGACTAGGGAACTTTGTGGACATTTGATGTAACTATTTCTTCAGCGCTAAGAGACTAAGAAACATGCAGCGAAGCACTCAGCGAAATGTGCAGGGATTTTTTTTTAAATGGGCACTAGCCATTTAGGAATATACAAATGAAGTTCCTGTGCTCTGACGTCTTCAAAATGTCTGAAGTCACTGTCTCAGGTAATTAGTTTTAAAAGGAGGGTTTGAAATAACATTAAAGAAATATGGGAGCAGCGCTGTGTGCATGCTTTCAAGGAAAGGATATTAGAGTAACAGCTACATTGAGGAGAGAACAGAACCAGCTAATGAACTCAGAGCAGCCCAGTGATTTTAAACATCTTTCATTCTCTGTTACATTTACCTCAGGCTTGTGAGGTGCCTGGACCCAGTCTCTCATGTTCCGTGCTGTGCTGCTTAGCTGGATGTCAACCCGAAAGTTGCCACTTCTGGCTGCTGTGCTATTTAAGAAGAAAGATACTGAGTTCTCTGACAGGCAGGTAATGTAAACACATCATTAGCAATTCTTTTGCTATATGATTTTGCAACTAATGAATGAAGAAACTGTAAAACTACAGGCCTGAGCATAGTGCTTATTGATTTGCTGGTTCCACTGATGTCAGTAAAAGGTTTAACAGTAGTAAGTCCTGCATTTTCCAGTGTATGTTTGCAGGGTCAGGTCCCAACTCTGACCCTTTCAGCATATAGAGTGAGGCCTAGTCTACATCTAAAACTTGGGCTGACCTTGCTACATTGCTCAATGGTGTGAAAAATTCACACCCTGGAGAGATGTAGTTAAGATGACCTAAACCCCGACGTAGATACCACTAGGTTGATGAAGGAATTCTTCCATCGACTTAGCTACAGCCTCTCGAGAGGGTGGATTTACTACAGCGATGGAAAACCCCTCCTGTTATCAGTGGAATAAAAAAATGTGTACTTCATTTCTTGTTTTATATCTCTGAGTCTGTGCAATAATTTGTGTTATTTATTAGCAAATAAATGTTTTGAAGTGCTTTTTCTAAAATGAGTACATGGCAGCTCAGCACTCCTAGATAGCATATAAAGAACATTTTCATAGAATGTTTCTATGAGACATCACAAAGTCTTCAATCTCAGGTTATATAGCAATATTCTGACCACTGTAACTACTCCCTGTCCCTTTGCTGGGACTTTCTCATGGTTCATAGTCCTCAAGTCAATGGAGACAACTGACATCTTAAAATGAGTAAGCAAATCCAGGGCCGCCCAGAGGATTCAGGGGGCCTGGGGTCTTCGGCAGCGGGTACCGGAGCGGAAGAACCCCCCGCAGCAGATCATCCGGGCACTTCGGCGGCGGGTCCCAGAGTGGAAGGACCTCCCTCCGCGGGTCAACGGGACACTTCGGCGGCGGGGGGTCCTTCTGCCCCGGGACCCGCCACCGAAGTGTCCCGTTGACCCGCAGAAGGACCCCCCGCCGCCGAATTGCCCCTGAAGACCCGGAGCGGAAGAAGCTCTGGGGGCCCGGGGCCCCCGGAGCGAGTGAAGGACCCCATTCTAGGATCCCCGAAAAACTCTCATGGGGGCCCCTGTGGGGTCCAGGGCCTGAGGCAAATTGCCCCACTTGCCGCCCCCCCCCGGGCAGCCCTGAGCAAATCTGAGGTATAAAGGCAGATGATTGAAGTAGGTAAAGAAAGGTAGGCCAATTCTACTCTGCTTAGCCTGATGAGCTTCCACTTCCTCAGTCTGAAGTGGTTCTTAGTTTTCATAGGCTAAGCAACCCATGGGCTGGCTGTTCCCCTGTTTTTGTTTGATATTAGCAGTTTTCTTAAGGTGGATTGTGGCTGAGTTTAACATTCAAGTTAATTGTCTTTTCAGCATGAGAAGCACCCGTACTACAATCTCACAGTGAAAGTCCTCAGAGCTAGAAACATTCATGGCACAGACCTGTGTAAGTCCTTGACCAAAATCATACAAACTAATGTTGTTCTTCTGTGAACAGAATGCTTCAGTTTCCATAGCACTTGTCTGGCCTCTGTCACGAATACTAAATTAACTTTTACAAGTTTTTAGTCTTAATTTTTTTTAACTGAGGCTGAGAAAATAGAGAAGCAGCCATGGTAGTTTCCGGGTACATTAGTAACATGGAGGAACTGTTTAATTTCTGGTAAATTAAAAATGACAACATTGGTAGGGCAAAAAACGTTGCTCTTCATTTTTCTCTCTTAAACTGGTGTAAATGAGGAATAACTCCAGCAAAGTAAACAGAGTCACACTAGTGTAAAAATTAGGGTGAGTGCAAAGTGAATCTGGCCCTTTTTACTTTTAAACCTTCAATACTGTATTCATCTTCTCCTGACCATTTTAAAAAATAAACTAAACAAAATTACGTGACAGTGTTCAGTTGCTTTAGTCAACTCCCTTTGAAAACATTGCTTTTATTTTCAAATTAAAGTTATTCTTAACTAGAGTTTGTTTTTATCCTGATTTTCAAATGTGGTTGCATTTATAAAAATGAACACATTTGCTGCACCTGAAAAACCATTTGTGCATATAAACAGCTATTTATGTGTGCAAATTAGGTAACTGGGTACCTGACTACCTGGTTGCATGTTTACTGAATCTCCATGCACAAATGGCTGTTTATATGCATGTATGTGCACACACACAGGTTTCTGCAGACAGAAAAGGTTTCAGTTAATGAGCAATCTGATAGCACGGATTACTTGTTGACCAAAGATAATGGTCAAGCTGTGCCTTTCTCTTCTAGGTCACATGGCCTCATGCATTTATGTGACACCAATTGCCAGACTTCATCTATGCTGCCTACAGGCCTGGGTCTGGTCAGTCTATGCAGCAGACAAGGATCACATCAACACGATAGTGACCATTCCCTTTCTTATTTGGTGGTCAAACCTGGATGGAATGAGAGTTGGCATCCTCTTCATCACTCCCGCCCCTAGTACCACCATCATAAAAGATGGATCCCTTATGGGTTGGGATGCTCACCTGAACAATCACACCGTACCAGGTATTTGGATACTCCAGGAGGCCAGACTGCACATCAGTCTACTGGTACTGAGGACAGACTGTGTGGCATGCAGACTTCTCTCCAGCTCATTTATTCTCTCCATGTCCAAGTAATATTGGGCAACATCACCGTGGTCTTTTACATAAATGACCAGGACAGAGCAAAATCTCTTCCCCTTTGCCTAGAAGCAGCCAGACTTTGGAACGGGTGCACCAGAAACCACATCATTATCTAATCCACATACCTTCCAAGGGTTCAGTACTCTTTAGCAGACAACCTGAACAGACACTTCTCTGCAGACTGTGAGGGGGAGATACACAGCTCTATCCTGAATGAGAGATTCATTCAGTGGGAAACACCTTAATGGGATCTCTTCGTGTCCCAAACAAACAGGAAGCTTCCCTTATAGTGCTCCAGAGGAGCTACAGATCATGGCTCCCAGGGCAATGCTCTCCTGTTGTCATGGATGGACAAATTCCGATATGCCTTTCTGCCTGTTCTCCCATTACCACAGGTCTTGAGAAAGATCCACCATGAAAGGGCCAGAGCCATTCTCCTCACACCCACTGGCCCAGACAGTTTTGGTTCCCAGAACTCCTGAGAATGTCAGTTCATCCTCCTCCCATGATCTGCTCTTTCCTGGATCTTCTTACTCAGGAAGGGGGCACAATCAGACACCCCCATCCAGACCCACTCCACCTCATGGCCTGGTGTTTCGATGGGCATTAGAACTAGAGCATCTTTGCTTGGCAGCCATCCAAGATATTCTTATTCAAAGTAGGAAAGACTCAACTAGGACCTGCTACCTAGCTAAATGGAGATGCTTCTCTCTACCTGGGCTCAGCATAGGCAGCCTTCTCCAAGTTCTGAGATATCCCAGTTGTGTTAGTTTACCTGCTGTTTTTAAATATCTCTGAACTTTCCATTAGCTCACTGCAGGTCCATTTTGCAGGGGTCAGTGCTTGCCTTCTTCTAGTAAAAAGAGGTTCCATCTTTACTCACCTTACAATAGTGAGATTCATGAAAGGCCTAGTTCAAACTTTTCCGCCAGTGGTCAAACCTGCATCTCAATGGGACTCCATCTCATACTATCAGCACTCCCCAGGCTGCCATTTGAACCCTTGACAACATGCTTCGTGTCTCACCTATCCATGAAAGTTGTATTTTTAGTTGCTATTACCTCAGCTAGAAGGGTGAGCGAGATGGGAGCCCTCCTGGCAGACCCAACATATGTTATTTTTCACACAGAAAAGGTCTCCCTTCTGCTCCATCCTAAATTCCTTCCCAAAGTTATTTCTGAATTCCATGTCACCCAAATTATCCACGTACCCATTTTCTTCCTGAAATCCCGTGTCTCTGTGGAGGAGAGGAGACTTCATTTCCTTGATGTCAGACATGCCTGGTAATTCTACCTGCAAATAGAAATCGGCTAGGCTATTTCTTTCCATAGCAGAAAGGTCACAAGGACAAAGTATATCCTGTCAAAGAATCGCTAAATGGATTTCTGGGTGCATCATAGTGTGCTACCAATTAGCACTTGTCCCTCTGCCTGATGGGATAAGGGCACACTCCATGAAAGCACAAGCTGTGTCTACAGCATCCCTGCAGGAAGAACTGATAGTGGATATATGCAGAGTAGCTACCCGGAGCTCCATTCACACGTTCACAAAACATTGCACGCTAGTTCAGGCCTCTGCTGGGGGTACAGTAGTGGGAGCTGCAGTACTTCAAGCATCTTTGCAGCTGGCATCCTCGCACTCTCCTCCAGGATGAACACTGCTTGCCATGTGTGGAATACATATAGGGACCAGCACTTGAAGAAGAAATGGAGTTACTTACATGTAACTGAATGTTCTTGGATGTGTGGTCTGTATGTGTATTCTAGTACTTGTCCTCCATCCCCTCTGCTGCTGTTTTCATGGTATGAAGAGGCACTGGAGAGGCCTGCATCAACTTTTATGCCCTCAGTCTGGAGCATGAGGTGAACTCCTGTGCATGTGCAGGCCAGTGGACACTGCTTGTTAGAATTTCTGGACCTGTGTGGAATACAAGTAGAGCCACAGGTCTCAAAGAACTTCCAGTTACAGGTAAGTAACTCAATTTTTGGTGCTTTGGCTGCGTTTTGCATCTTAAGTGGAATTGACTCCATAGGAACATGTTTGTTTGGACAGCCATTTTGAATGTTAGGTTGTTGATATTCAGTAGCCTGAACTAAAGACTGAAAAGAAAGTGGATAATGAGACATGATGGGTTTTGAACACAGGCACTGACTTTTCAAAGTGCCAGGGGATGCTCGACCCCCCCCCCAGTTCCACCCCAGGCCCCTGCCCCCACTTTACCTCTTCCCCCCCCAAGACCCCACCCTACCCCTCCTCTTCCCGCTCCTGCTCCACTCCCACCCCACCTCTTCCTGCCCAATTCCACCCTCTCCCCTAAGTGTGCCACGTCCTCACCCCCCCTTCCCTTCCCTCCTCCCCCCAGCCTCCTGCACGCCACGAAACAGCTGTTTGTAGCGGGCGGGAGGCGCATGGAGCGAGGGGGGAGGCACTGATCCGTGTGACCTGCCACTGGGTGGGAAGCACTGAGGGTGGGGTGGGGGGGAGATGATGGGGGGCTGCCGGTGGGTGCTCAGCACCCACCATTTTTTCCCAGTGGGTGCTCCAGCCACGGAGTCAGTGTCTATGGTTGTGAAGAAAGCTATGAGTAGGGCCCTACCAGTTCATGCCCATGAAAAACACATCACGGATCATGAAATCTGGTCTCCCTTCTATGAAATCTGCTCTTTTGTGTGCGTTTACCCTATACTATATAGATTTCACAGGGGAGACCAGCATTACTCAAATTGGGGTCCTGACCCAAAAGGGAGCTGTGTGTGGGGGGGTGTCACAAGGTTATTTTAGGGGGCTTGTGGGGTTGCCACCCTGATTCTGTGCTGCTTTCAGATCTGGGTGGCTGGAGAGCAGCAGCTGTTAGCTGGGCATCCAGCTGTGAAGGCAGTGCCCTGCCAGCAGCAGCGCAGAAGTAAGGCTGCAATACCAAACCATGCCACCCTTTAATTCTGCTTCTGCCTTCAGAGCTGGGCAGCCAGAGAGTGGCAGCTGCTGACTGAGAGCCCAGCTCTGCAGGCAGCAGCGCATAAATAAGGGTGGCAATATCATACCATGTCATCCTTACTTCTGTGCTGCTGCTGGTGGTGGTGGCTTTGCCTTCAGAGCTGGGCTTCCAGCCAGCAGCTGCTGCTCTCCAGCTGCCCAGCTCTGAAGGCAGCGCCACTGCCAACAGCAGCACAGAAGTAAGAGTAGCAGTACTGCAAGCTCCCCTACAATAACTTTGCAACTCCCCCCCACAACTCCTTTCTGAGTCAGGACCCCAACAATTACAAAAGTGAAATTTCAGATTTAAATAGCTGAAATCATGAAATTTATGATTTTTAAAATCCTATGACTGTGAAATTGACCAAAATGTACTGTGAATTTGGTAGGGCCCTAGCTTCAGGGTTCACGGTTTCAGGGTTTTCCTGATGCCAATCTTCTGTCCTCCCTTTCAGTGTCTAAGGCAGACTGCTATGTGGCATTGGATCTTCCAACTGCATCTCCAGTCACATCTCGAACACAGGTTGTTTATAATTCCAGTAATCCAGAGTGGAATGAAACCTTTGAATACAGGATCCACAGTTCTGTGAAGGTGAGGTGGGTTTCTTTGACATGGAGCTGGCTAGATTATTCTACGCCATCTGCACTGGAAGGGTCTTAGCATTCAAAAAACAAAGGGTCATTACTATAGAGGTACAAATACTGAAATAAAATGTAGGGATTCAAGATCTGCCTCTATCAAGCTCTTCACTTCACTGAGAAGGTGTATTTCTGACGACAAACGTACAAGGTAAATTTCAGTGAAGCCTTCTTTTAAATAAACAAGGGTCTGGAAAAATAGTGGTGCAGGGAAAAGTAGGGGCAGGGAAAAGACCAATGTGCCTTTTAAGGACTCTTGAGATGGTGGCAGCATAGATGAAGAAATTATGCTTTTTGCAGTTTTCTCAAAGGAAAGTGTTTGCAAGTTGAATAATATTGTTTATATAGAACTGTACGTCTGAAAGTGCTGTGTGAACTAATCCTCACAAGATTTCAGTGTGGTTGGGTAAGCAAATTCCTGTTGGATACATGAGAAAACTGAGGCCCAAAAGCGTTGTGGCTTTTCTCCAAACCACACTGGAAGTCTGTGACAAAGCCAGGATTAAAAATCAGGTTTCCAATCCAAAACTCAAATCATTAGACACCACTGCCTCCTTAATAAAGAACCATAAGACATAACTGGAGATGGGGTATCAAATTCAGCATCCCCATACAGGAGTTTAAGGAAGAGAGGCAAGGTGGGAATGCTGTTCCTCACCAGGATGTCATGTGGGATTGGCTGATTGAGCTCTAACCTGGTTTGCCTTGTGGAAAGGCTTTGGGTCCTGGGCTGGTTTGTAAGAGTTTTATGACAGGTGTTGTAGAGAGGTATATTAAATCAGTCTCTGCTAACAACATAACCTTCTGTGAAAAGAAGTCAACAGACTATACCAAAAGTTAATCAATTTCCTATTGATAGCCAAGTAGCAACAGCATAGTAATATCTGTAAAACTTTTCTCTGTAGGAAGCCACTCTGCAGGAAGCCTGAAATGCTGCCTGTTGTTTTTTCAAACTTGCTAGGGCAGCAGCCATTAGAATTATGTTGAAAAACTTATGTACCCCCGAGCCTTCCTAAATAATATCGCTTACTTAAGACACAACGTATCATTTGATTACTGAATTACATGGCCTTCAAAACCGCTCACAAAGCAAAGGAGGCCAAGACCTCTGAGAAAAGTTTTCATACCCAACTGCAGGGGATGCTGGCTTATATTTGTTGATAGCTAACTGGTTCTTGTCTAATGTGTTTGCCTAACTGTCTGACGTTCTCTCCCTGACCAATAAGCTTATTGTGTCCTACCCCAGAGCATTACTGTTAGCTATTAGCAGGAATGTACTGCAGCATTTAAATGCTTGTCTAGCTTAGAGTTTGTTCTCACAACTTAATATATTGAGTGGAACTAAATGGGGTCTCTGCGGACTATGCTTGTGATTCTACCATCACATGGCTATGCTAGTTGCTTGCCTTCTTTTCAAGTCTGCTCCCCTTCTCTACTTTTCCTCTTGTTCTGCCTCTTCCTCCTGCTTTGTTCCTTCACTCCTTCCAGACCCCAAGTCTGTTACTGGGGAGAATATGATGTTTATTTGACTGCCCCAGTCCCTATTGCCACTCTCTTTACGTCACATAGATGCCTGCTGTGTCTATCGATTACCTCACCTCTTCAGGTGTCATATGTTCACTGAGGGTGTTATGCATACTGACCCTAGGTGCATTGGCTGTCCCACATTCTCTAGTCTGGGGCACATGCCAGCAGAAGTCGCATCCATGTGGAGGTTTGTCACAAAACACAAACTTAGTAGAGGAAATGTTTTAGTTGCTTGAAAATAAAAGGATAGAAAACTTCAAGTCACCAGGGCCTGATGAAATGCATCCTAGAATACTCAAGGATCTGACTGAGGAGATATCTGAGCAATTAGTGATTATTTTTGAAAAGTCATGGAAGACTCGAGAGATTCCAGAAGACTGGAAAAGGGCAAATATAGTGCCAATCTATAAAAAGGGAAATAAGGACAACCCCAGGAATTACAGAACAGTCAGCTTAACTTCTGTACCTGGAAAGATAATGGAGCAAATAATTAAGCAATCAGTTTGCAAACATCTAGAAGATAATAAGGTGATAAGTAACAGTCAGCATGGATTTGTCAAGAACAAATCATGTCAAACCAACCTGATGGCTTTCTTTGACAAGGTAGTGGATGGGGGTGGGGGGAGGGGAGAGGAAGCGGTAGACGTGGTATATCTTGACTTTAGTAAAGCTTTCGATACTATCTCGCATGACCTTCTCATAAACAAACTAGGGAAATGCAACCTAGATGGAGCTACTATAAGATGGGTGCAAAACTGGTTGGAAAACCATTCCCAGAAAGTGGTTCACAGTGATGCTGGAAGGGCATAATGAGTGGGGTCCCACAAAGATCAGTTCTGGGGCCAGTTCTTTTCGATTTCTTCATCAATGATTTAGATAATGACATAGAGAGTACACTTATAAAGTTTGTGGATGATACCAAGCTAGGAGGGGTTGCAAGTGCTTTGGAGGATAGGATTAAAATTCAAAATGATCTGGACAAACTGGAGAAATGGTCTGAAGTAAATAGGAT